GGGTTCAATTCCTGGGTTGGAAAGATCCCTGGAGGAGGGCATGGCAACCCACTCCAGTATTCTTGCCTGGAGACTCCCATGGACAGAGGAGCCTGGGTCACAAAGAGTCATACATGACTGAAACAACTGACCACGCATGCACACTAGGTTCCGTAGATTCTGCTTTTCCAGTGTCTATCTGTTCTTTCCCATTTATATTGCCTTATCTTGGTGTAACTAATCTTTTACAGCAGTAGTCCCCAGCCCTTTTGCCACCAGGGACAGGTTTCACGGAAGACAGTTTCTGCACGGACAGGGCTCGGAGGGAGGGCAGCCAGAGGGGTGGTGTTCTGGCCTTGTATGATAGTGTTCAGGTAATGCAGTCTATGGGGAGTGGCAGATGAAGCTTGGCTACACTCGCTCACCCACAGCTCACCTCCCGCTGTGCAGTCTGGTTCCTAACAGGCCAAGGGCCACTACCAGTCTGCGGCCCAGGGGTTGGGGGCCCCTGTGTTATAGGAATTCTGAAATAGTCATCTATTTGATTTCCCAGTTTTAATTACTTTCCACTATAATGTATCTCACAGATACAATGTTATTAAATTACTTTTACTAAAGCTCACAGCTCTTATCCTATTACTCCTGACTTAAAAATCTTACCTGCTTCCCATTTGCCTGCTGGATTAAATACAGACTCCTGAACTTGACCACCATGATCCTTCATAATGTGGGCTCAACCTTATAGAAAACCTGCAGCTCACTACTGTGTAGATATGCCTCATTATTCTCTGCCATCATTGTATTCGTGTTGTGACCTCGATCTGAACTCTGGAATGTTTGGAATACATTTTCTTCCCATCTTCACCTCCTAAAATTCTTACTGTTTGAAACCACTTGAAACATCTCCTTGAAGCTTTTACTCTTTGGTCTGATATGATTTTTTGTTTTTCCTTCGAATTACTGTAGAACTTTTTCTCTCATGTCTCAAACTGCACTTTCTATGTTGTATCTTTGTTTTCACATTCTCCTAGGTTATACATTCCTTCAAGGCAGAATATGTCTTACTAATGCTTGTTCTGTGAATTCAAGTGCAGTGCCGTACAGTTTGTAGATGCTTTATTAATAGTGACTTTAAATTTGTAGGAAAAGGCACAGTCTATATTTCAGTTCCATCTCAGCTTATAGTAATGTTAATGCTAGGGGCAATCTGTGGCTGTGGAGTACAACTCCTCTATGATACGATAGCCTTATATTCTTTTTTTTTTTTTTGCCTTATATTCTTAAAATTCAAAGTAATATAACTTTACACATTTTATATATTATATATTTTATATACTTTTAGTAATAATTAAAGAAATTTTGACAGTGTAAAAAAGTAGAAAGAAAAATAATTGCCTATAATTCTGTTTCCCAAAGAAAAGCAATCATTCATTCAACAGATTTCACTGAGGACCTGTTAGGTACCAGGTACTGTATTAAGTACTGGAGATAAAAGTTTAAAAGATACAGTCTCTGTTCTCAAAGAGTTCATGATCCAATGAAGAGAAAGTAAACAGATCATTTTAATTATGAAGTATGTGCTAATGGCAAAAGCATGCACAGGATGCTGTGTATGAAGCATAAAACATTTTGTTGTACTTTCTTTAAATGCTCTAATGAAACTTGTTTTTTCAAGGATTCATTTGGCAAATATTTTAGGAAATAAAGTGCCTACTTTTATAACCTATTATGTTATTATATCAAATCTAGATTATTTATATATGTATACACTTATATAAATATTTAGTTTTAGACTCTAGATTTAGGGGGTAATTTGCTGGAAAATACTGTTTTCTCTAACGGGCCTATGACTAAAACTAACCTATTCTCTGTAAAAGGTGAGAAGGCAAATTTTGGGGTTTCTCCTTTTCAGTTTTACCAAATAAGTTCACATTTTGTAAAACTGGAAGCCCATCCTTCTTCACAATGCATATTAGGTAAAAATATAAAATAAAATGGATTCACAAGCAACTTTCTGAATATGCATGTTTTGATCAACCTACAAGGTTTTTTCTGATAATATTAGTGTTACCAGGATAAATATAGCACTACTCAGATCTGCAAGAACACACTTCTCATGCTGCAGAAAAACCACAGACGCATACAGGAAATGGTACAGCTTATAACTGCAGTACCAATATAGCCCTATCTGTGAAGCCAAAAATATACTCTTAATTCACAGGCAAAAATTGGAGCTAATGATAGATGTAATTTGTTTTCTTTCTATCAGGAATATTAATCTGGCTGCCCTTCTTCCAAAAGTGTGAAATCTAAAAGTATTTTGACTTTTGGATGTTTAACCAATTAAAATGAGAATCTTAATGCTTAGTATAGCACAGAATATTAATAAAATTTGAGCTAAATAGAGAACCTCCATGTCAAAAAGACTAGTTTACTAAGAATATTATCAGTTTTTGTTTTCCTGCCAATTAATATTTCCACATATTATCAGTTACTAAGTTTTTTGTCATTATTCTTTATCTAGTGGACATACCAGGCCATGGTCCATGAACTACTGGGTATAAACAACAATCGGATTGATCTTTCCAGAGTGCCAGGAATCAGTAAAGATTTGAGAGAGGTGGTCCTATCTGCTGAAAATGATGAGTTCTATGCTAATGTAAGTGGTTTAAAGTTCTTTTTAAATGTTTCTATGTGAGGTTAATCCTGATTTGTTAGAATGAGAGCAGGTGTGGGATTTCGTGTGGAAGGATGAGAGAGACATCCTGTAGATAAACTACATCTCAAGGGAAGACAGAAGACTTTTTTCTAACCCTTCAACAATACTTTTTCCTTAGTGATCATGTACTTAGTTTTGTACTTTAAAAATTAGAACCAGTTTATTTACTGCCCTCCTGTCCATAGCCCTTTGTGAGATTAGTAGTGGTATTCATCACCAGTGTCCTGGACAATATCCAGATTTGGTAATTACAATGAAATTTTCTTGCCCTTCAATTCTAACTGTATTCATTGTTCTTTTTCACTTCTTATGAGTTGTCTGAAAGTCGGCCTAGTGGATAGAACTGTGTTTCCAACTTCCTTTTTCACAGAATATGCACCTGAACTTTGCTGAGATTGGTAGCAACATAAAGAATCTCATGGAAGACTTTCAGAAGAAGAAACCAAAAGAACAGCAAAAACTAGAATCAATAGCAGACATGAAGGTAAATTGAACATGTACATGGATGACTAACATGCAAGACTTTGGAACTATTCATGTAAGCAACATTTCTGGAATATTCTGGGTCTGATTTCTGCCTTAATTCCTTTTGTTTGGTTCAAAATCATTTTCTGTTTCTCTTTAGGAAGCAATATAGTGAAAACTTCATAGTAAGCCATGAACTTCTTTCCTTCCTTCAGTCATATTTGAACTATTTAATTACTCACTCTACTGACATATACCAGTCCTTCTCTTCTTAAGCATAACAAAATGCTGTGTGATTGAAAGTTTTAGATGCCTTAGTCTGGGCAGAAGAATAATCCCTTCCTTTTTTTTCTCTTCTTCATACATGCCTGTCCTCAAGAAATAACAGAACCCCCACTTGTTTTTCTCATGGCAGGCCTTTGTTGAGAATTACCCACAGTTCAAGAAGATGTCTGGGACTGTGTCGAAGCACGTGACAGTGGTTGGAGAACTGTCTCGGCTGGTCAGTGAGCGGAATCTGCTGGAGGTTTCAGAGGTTGAGCAAGAACTGGCCTGTCAAAATGACCATTCTAGTGCTCTCCAGGTACCTATTCAGTCCAACTGATGAGCACCTACTGTAGTAAGCCACTGTGGCAAGCAGAGCAGGCGGTACGAAGGCAAGTAATCCTTCTTAACCAACATGGAGTCTACAGTCTAACAAGGAGTTGAGACAGGAACACAAATTAGTATTATTTAAGATAGATGGGCTCCCCTGGTGGCTCAGATGGTAAAGAATCTGCCTGTACTGCAGGAGACCCAGGTTCTATCCTTGGATGGGGAAGATAGCCCCTGGAAAAGGAAATGGCAACCCACTCCACTATTGCCCGGAAAAATCCATGGACAGAGGAATCTAGTGGGTTACAGTCTATGGGGTTCCAAAGAGTTGGACACGACTGAGTGACTAACACACACACAAGATAGACAGATGATAAGAGACACAGGAGAAGAAAAAATGTGCAGTTCCTCAGGGTTCAGGCAGTTAACTGAGTGTTTAGGAGGGCAACCCAGTCAACTAGAAAGAATGCTAGACTAAAATCAGAAGATCTAAATTTTAGTGTTTGAAATGCCACTACTGGCTTTGGGACCTGGAGCTATTGGCTTAATTTCTTAGACATTTTCCTTATTTGTCAAATAGGTATAGTGATATGTATCTCACAGGACTGTTAGGAAGATTTAAAGATACAATATCTATTAAAATGCTGGCGTCACCAACTCGATGGACATGAGTTTGAGCAAGCTCCAGGAGTTGGTGATGGACAGGGAAGCCTGGTGTGCTGCAGTCCATAGGGTCGCAAAGAGCTGGACGTGACTGAGCAACTGAACTGAAGTTTGTACTATTGAGCATCTGCTTTTTATTCCACAATCATGTGAATGCCTGCTCAATGTACATAGTACAATGAGTATCTAGAGGAACAAAAATAAATATACTTTTTCCTCAAAGAGTTCACATATTAATAAGGGAGAAAGAAATTTAAACTAGGAGTTATAATATATGCAATAAATGCTATACTAGAGGTATTACAAAGGGACATGGAAATACAGAGGAAGGACGGCTGTTTTCCGTAAGGATGTGGCTTCTTAGAGAAGATGATAATACTTTTCAAGAAAAGAAATTCTCAGCAGAGAGAATGCAGACATGGAGATGTTAAGGAAAAAAACCAAGGGAACAGAGGCTAACTCAATGTAGCTAGTGCTGGATACAAGATGAGGCACGGTCTTAGATAAGCCAGATTGAGGCCTGGGTATGGCCACTAAAAGGAGATTGGGCTTTAATCTTAAAATGACAGGAGCTATCAGAGGATTTTAGCAGAAAAGCAACATAATCAGACAATTAGGCAGCATTTCAAGTTAATATTTAAGTCAAAGTTGTGGTACTGACTGTAGTAAGTTTTGAGGTTATTAGGGACAGTTTCTTAGAGATGGTGATATTTAGATGGACTGTAAATAATGAATAGAATCTGGAGGAGGATTTCAGCAAAGCAAAGATGCAGAAGTATGCAAAAAAATAATAAACAGCATGACCTGTTGAGAGTGGGTGTGGAAGAGAAATGGGAGATAAAATTGACTTGGTAAACAGGAGCTAGTTTATTAAGATGCTTGTGAGAGGAATTTGTATTTGCTGAGATAGGCAAAGAGATCCAGCATAGAGTCTTATGTAGAAGTTGATATGATGAAAGTAGTATTTGAGGAAATTTAATAAGGATGCTTTGGAGGTGAAAAAATTAAAACCAGGGAGGCTAAAAAAATTCTTCATAGTAGTAAAAATGTACAGACCGACAAATATGAAAGACAATATCAAAGGGAGAAAATAATTTAGAGACAGATTGGCTATAAGGATAATAAGAGAGAACAAATCAGAGATGATTCCAAAGTTCCTGAGACGTGACAAAATGTGGTATCACCGACAGTAAGTAACTTGGGAATGAGAGTCCTTTGGGAAATGGCTGTTTCTAAGCCATTTATTGTAAGAAGCACATTTCCTTGCTAATAGGACCCTATATTCTAAATCCTAGTCTCTTTCTCTCTTGCAGTTCTACTTTATACAATAAAACCAGCATGGTATAATGGAAGCAACACAGGGTTTGCAGCCAGACTGTCTTGGCTTATGTCCTGTCTCTATGTATCAACATTTCTTTAGGAAAATTACTTATTTTTCCCAAGCCTATTATGAAGTTTGATAATGATTTCAAACTTTTAGGTTGTTATCAGGATTCAGTGAGATGTAAAATGCTTCCCATATGATAGGTGCTTTGTAAAGGTTAATTTCTTTCCTCTTAGCATAATTTTTGGTTTGGTTTTGTTGTTTGCTGCCTTGGGCTTCCCTGGTAGCTCAGACGGTAAAGAATAACCTGCAATGTGGGAGACCTCAGTTCGATCCCTGGGTTGGGAAAATCCCTTGGAGGTGGCCATGGCAGTCCACTCCAGTATTCTTCTTGCCTAGAGAATTCCATGGACAGAGGAGCCTGGCAGGCTGCAGTCGATGGGGTGGCAAAGAGTCGGATACAACTGAGTGACTAAGGACAGCCACAGCCTGGGTCATAGCCGTGGCACTGGGGATCTTTCCTTGGTGCAGGGCCTCTCTAGTTGTGGTGCGTGGGCTTAGTTGCTCCACAGTGTGTGGGATCTTAGCTCCCCAGCTAGGGGTCCAGCTGGCATCCCCTGCACTGGCAGGCAGATTCTCAACCACTGGGCCGCCAGGGAGGTCCTTAAGTGCGGTGTTTAGAGATATGATACAATTGAAGGGAACAAATTCACCCACCTGTGGTTGCTCTAGTTGTATATACCAAAGCCTTTACTGTGATTTATAGTTGCTGATTTTTACTTTTTAAATTTATCAAGATTTCCTCTTGGTAAACATGATTTTTAAAATCATAGGGATGCTATTTGCTTTATATTTATGAAAAGTACTTCTGTCAGCAGTTCTAATTTTACCTCTGTATTCTTAAATCTTCACAAAGAACTTTTAGGGTGACTATTATTTTTAGTTGTATTGAATTCTAATTCATTTTTAATCAATATTCGTTGAAATATTATTGTGTATTGTGTTAACTTCTGCTCTATAGGAAAGTGATTCAGTTTTATATATATATACTTTTTTATATTCTTTTCTAGGATGGTTTAGCATAAGTTTTAATTCTTAAATAGATCATATAAGTATTTGATGAAAGAGATAAATAGTACAAACTGAATCTGTTAGTAGTTTCACTTACATCCTTACTGTTGTTCTGTGTATGTGCAAGCCTATGTGAGTGTGTATATTTCCTTCTCTCTCTTTTTAAAAATTCAGATGACACCATATTGTACACATAGTTCTGCATTTTGCTTTTTCACTTACTTTGTGTCTCAGAGACTGTTCCAGACTAGAACCTAAACACTCACTCTATTAAATCACTAAATAGTATTCCTTTGTAAAGATACTTCATAATCTATTTAACTTCACCAACTTTCTTTAAACAACACTGCTAATAACAGTTTAGAGTTGGTCTGTGGGCCTAATAGAAGTATTCCTATGGAAAACATTTATTTTTCTCAATAAGATAAATTTTGTTCTCTTATGAAATAAAAACAGAATTGTGTCCTGTAACTAAATTTAAATTTCCTTATGTTTCTTTATCATTTTAGCTTTCCCTTTAAAACAATAGAACCAAATTAATCACTAGCCAATTTTAGTATCTTTATTTGTATCTCACCATATGGAAAGCAGTTAGAAATGGCTACTATAATTCCTTTGCCTGAAATCTTATTTTTTGTTCATTTTAAAAGAAAAATAGACACTTTAAAATATGAATTCCATTTGTGATCCACTTTGCCAGTTCAGCATGCAGGGTTTCCCAACCAGGGATCTAACCCATGCCCTCTGCATTGAGAGCCTAGAGTCTCAACCACTGGACTGCTAAGAAATCCCTATATTTTTAAAAATTATCTTTTGAAGGTTTTCTTGCCCATGGTATTAGGGTTTTACAGTGAGCAGTTGATTTCGACTCCACCACCATAAAGGCTTTCTTTGGCAACATGATGTAAATAGTCAATAAAGAGAACTTCTGTTTAGTAATGAGCAGATGCCAAGGGCCTGACCCACAGATGGGATACAGCATTCCTTGGCTTGACCTTAGATGATAATAACGTCATGAAGCAATGAATTGATTTTTGAGTAGAGATGAGGTTTGCTTTATTGAATAGTGACTGTATCATGGTGAGGGAAGAAAAGCTCATATATTGCTAAAAATTAACCTAAAAATTGCTGCCACTAATAACCAGTTATCCAGTCTGATTCAGAAGAATTTCACTAGAACCAAACTGCAATGTACTGTCATTGAAACATATGCATAGCCTTGGAAAAGACTGATTAGTAAGGAAGATTTTTTTTCATACCATAAAGGAAAAATCTTCAGAAAATAAACAATTACCCTTCCCTCTCTGCATGGTTGTGTTGTCATATCACAACTTTTCATTCGAAATAAGAATCTAGTCTATTTTATATTCTTCTTTCCTGACCTTGGGTAAAAGATCTTAAATCATGCCATTAATAACACATAGGACAATAAATATTTGTTAGAGAAATGAAGGTAAAGAGTTCTATTTAAAGCAGTATAGAATAGAATAGCAACTGTAAAGGCTTGAATCTTTGATGTCTTGGGTTTGAAAATGATTCTTAGCCACTCCAGTCTTAGTCTTTTCGTCTGTAAAATGGGGGAAATATCAGTACTTAGCTCAAAGATTTTTGTAAGGATCCAGTGAGCTAGTACATATAAAACACTTAATATGGTACCTGGTGCTTATAACATTCAATGAATGTTAACTATCACTATTTTTAGTATTACTTTTTGATGGTATATTCCCTTTTTTATGGCATCCAGGACATGTTTTTTAATTCACTAGTGATCTTGGAACTCTCTCTGATTTTAGAAAGGCTTTTTTTGCTTCTCATTAGAATCATAAGAAAATTATTTGGGACACATTGAGCTGACAATTTTACTTTGACCAACTAAGATTTAAAATGTTCCTGTCTCTCTAAACCATCATTTAACTAATGTTTCAGAAACA